ACACAACACCTGGGTAACTTAATGAGTCTCTGTCTCAAAATAAAAAAGGGATAGGATAGGGGACTCAGTGGTTAAGAGCATTTATGGCTTTTGCAGAGGACCAGACTTCAGTTCTTAGCCATGACATCAGGCAGCTCACAAGTGCCTATAACTCCAACTCCAAGAGATCCATCACCCTCTGTTAGCTTTTGAGGCCATCTGTATACACAGAGATACAAACATATACATAAATTAAAAAATGTTTTAAGTAAAAAGCAGGTTGAGGATATAATTCAACTATAGACTAGGAAGTACCAGACCCTGGGTTCAATCCACTGGTCCTGAAGGGAAAACAAAACAAAACCCACTTCCTAAATGGGAATAAACACAGTTCCCATGGTGCTTTGTGCCTCTCAATGCTTTTTATTTTCAGAGGGCTGGACATCCTGGGAAATGTAGTCCCCCTCAATTCACTATGACTAGGATGGCTATATTTCTTTTCAGGAGAGGGAGGAGAGGACATCCAGCTATTCAATATTTCTGTTACCATAGTTACTTTGCTTATGAGACAACTTCATGGACTGGAACCAGAGTTAAACATGACCTTTCCCCACAAGAGTTGGTGAGATGGCTCTGCAGGCATTACAGGAATTAAACTGAGACTGGCCTGGTGCAATGAGATGACTCCAACCATACTCAGAAAGTGGGAGAAGTTTATCCTTTATTATGTGCAGGCCACAGTCTGAGCCCCTGCTCCATAGAAACTGAGGCATGGACCAGAAATACATACAGGTTTTTATAGGCTCTTTCATGACATCCCTTGGCAGTAATCATGTTGGTGGATTGGAGACTTCCATCACAGAAATATATGTGCTCCTTAGGCTATTATAGGAAATCTAAACAGTCAACATTTTATAAAAAGCAGATATACAAGGCAAGTGTGGGCTTGGGTTATGACATTCCCAAATAACATGATATATTGCTGATGCCAGCAATCTATTTTAACAAATGTTGGATAGGGATGTCCTCTGAAAGAACTAGCAACAGCTGGATGTCTGAACCCTAAGAGACTCTGTAGAAATGGAGGAAGACAGTCACCCCTCCCACCCAATCGGTCAGCTTCAATTGCACGAGGGGGATGATCTAAGGAGAGGCACAGAAGAAATCAGGGAGGCGGCTGGGAGCTTTCCCTCTTGGGCCAGTGGGCTGGCGGTGGCAGATCTGGAAAGTCCAGCTGGGATGTAGGGAAAAAAGCCCACAGATGGATGCCTTTATAAGTAACACCCTCCCAGACATCACAAACTCTGTAATAAATAAACTGTAATTTTTATTGTAAGGACAGTGTGGGGAGAGAGGGCCTCCCAGTGGGCCTGAAGGCTGAGAGCTGTGCAGGCCTCCTAGAATTGAATTTGACTTTACAACAAATAAGACACATTGCAGCATGTGCTTTCACAAAAATCGCAGACTGTGGGTTTTGTGGTTGTCTGTCCTTGTCTTGTCTCAGCCTGAGACTGAGCTCAGAGTGGCCTTTATGATTTGAATAAAAGTAGAAGCTCCCAAAGTTCTGTTAGTTCTACACATACCAGGAAGCACACTTATTATTAGGAGCACATGAGGTTAGTACTTACTCATCTACACACAGAACAAAGTTATACTGAGGTCATAGTTCCACATTATTATTAATTTTTTTCCACATGGTAGAATCAAGAGAAAGAAGTGTTCCTTGAGAAAAGAGAAACTTTCTATTGCACATGCTTTAAAAATCCGCTTTTTTTTTTTTTTGGTCTTTTTGAGACAGGGTCTCCCTGTAGTCTCAGCTGTCCTGGAACTCACTATGTAGACCAGTCTGGCTTTGAACTCACAGAGATCTGCCTGCCTCTGCCTCCCAAGTGCTGGGATTAAAGGCGTGTGCTACCATGCCCAGCTAAAAATCCACTTTATTAAAACACATACATAAATAAAAGATATACAGAGATTTTAGATCTTGTGGTGGTTTGAATCATCAGTGTCCCCCCATAGGCTCAAGTGTTTGAACACTTGTTCCGTTGGTGGTGCTATTTTGGGAGGGTCATGAACCCTTTAGGAGGTGTGGCCTAGCTGGAGGAAGCACATCACTGGGGGCCATCTTTGAGAGTTCATAGCTTTGCCCCACTTCCCATTTTGATTTCTCTCTCTGCTTCTTATTGTGCTTGAGTATGTGAGCATTCAGTTTTCTGTTCTGGCCACCACCTGCCCTGACATGCCTTTCTGACCATGATGGACTCTTAATCCTCTGGAACTGTAAGCCAAATAAACTCTTCCTTTCTATAAGTTGTCTTGGTCATGGTGTTTTGTCATAGTAACAGAAAAGTAACTAATACAGATTCCAATCTTGTTCCTACTCACACAGTTCTACATATGTATTTTTATTTTCCAGTATATTTTTTAGTCTTTTTGAGACAGGGTCTCCCTGTACCTCTCCCTGTGGTTCCCTGGCCTGCAACTTACTATGTAGACCAGCTTGTCCTCAATCTCACAGAGATCCACCTGCCTTTGTCTCCCGAGTGCTGGGGTTAGGGTTGTGCACCACTACACCTGGCTTCCAGTGTATTTTTTTTTTGCAAATATGAGTGTATGTATTCCTATATTCCAACACAAAGTTACATTCTTTTATTTATTTTGAAGATTACATTTGTTTTTAATCTTTAAAAATTTTATTTTTAATTACGTGTGTATATCTATGTATGGGAATATGCACCTGAGTTCAGGTGCCCAGAAAGGCCAGAAGAGGGCATTTGGTATGCTTGATTGGGAATTACAGGTTTTTGTGAGCCATCCAACATGAGGGCTGGGAACTGAACTCACGTCCTCTGCAAGAGTACTCTTCATTGCTGAGCCATCTCTGAAGCCCTTATTTTCTTTCTTTCTTTTTCTTTCTTTCTTTCTTTCTTTCTTTCTTTCTTTCTTTCTTTCTTTCTTTCCTCCCTCCCTTCCTTCCTTTCTTTCTTTTTCTTTCCTCCCTCCCTCCCTCTCTCTTTTCTTTTCCTCTTTATATTTAAGTATTTAAAAGATTACATGCCTTCCATATTCTTCTGAACCTTGATTCCTTCAAAAATTAAAAAAAATATTTATTGTTATTTTTATTTTATGTGTACGAGTGTATTGCCTGCATGTATGTGAATGCACTCATGTTGTGCAATGCCGCGGAGGTCAGAAGAGGGCCTCGGATTCCCCTGGAACTGGAGTTAAGGACAGTTTGTGGCTGCCATGTGGGTGCTGGGAATCAAACCTGGGTCCTCTGCAAGAACAGTCAGTGCTCTTAACTGCTGAGCCAACTCTCCAGGCCCCTCCCAATTTTTTTTATTACTTTTTTTTGTGTATATAATGTGGTGTGAGAGTGTGTGTGGGTGTGGGTGTTGGTATACATATGTGTTACAGTGATAAAGAGATAGTTTATTTTGGAGCCAAATATGAGTGACCATGATCTATCTGGGAACACAAATTCAGGTTATCCTCAATCCCATGTTCCAATATGGTAACAGTTTCATGAAGTTTTATTAAATTTATTTATTTTCATTTTATGTGTATGAGTATTTTGCCTACATGTAGGTTAAGTGCACCTATGTTGTGCAATGGCCACACAGACCAGAAGGCATTGGATCCTACGGAATTGGAGTTATGAATGGTTGCTAGCCACCATGTAGGTGCTAGGTACCAAACCTGGGTCTTCTTCAAGAACAGCCAGTGTTCTTACCTGATGACCATTTCTCCAGCCCATTTCATGAAATTTTTATAGTAACATAATAAAGAAAAAGAGATCAAAATACTTTTCAAATACATTGGTGGAGACACCAGTAGGTGGATTCCAAAAAACCTGGGGGAAGTCTTAGCTAGCAGTTTCTTAGCTAGCTAGATGCTATTTGAGCACATTCTTAGTCTTTTGACTGTTGGAAGCGAGTGGTCTGTTTGTACATTCCAAAGGATTTACCTACTAGTCACATAGCTCACATACAGAGGAGGGAAATACATAAAGGGCTATTAAGGGTGCTGAAGAGTAACCCAAGATAATTTAGCTCTGATCTTTCAACACTCCAAAGTCTTCACAATCATTAAAGTTTGAACCAGTTAATCAGCCTTGCAGAAGATTCAGGATAAGGGATGGTCTTCCCCAGGAACTTTAGTTCACAGTTCCTGTGACTGAACTCAGGCTTGGCAGCAAGAGCCTTTATCTTCCTCAGTCCAGTTTTAGTCTTCTAAAATGTACTTTTTGCTGTGAAGCATTTTTCCACTACTGCTGAAGTATGTTGAAGTTTCTATTTTTAAGAAATGTATTTATCAGATTACACTCTTATTTATTAGTATTTATTTAGAAGAGCATTATATTTTTTGATTTATTTTTATTTACCAGATTACATTATTTCCACACTCTTTATCTGGTTTCTTACATATATTCCTTGCTGAGCAGTATTTTTTTCCTTCCTCTGGCTGAAGTATACATAGAATACGGACATAGGCATAAGCACATAGCCGCATTCGCTGGCCTGCTTTGAGCACCAGCCATATGCTGCCTAGACCGGGAGAAGAGCTGTTTCCAGAGATGCCTACCTGCAGGTAGCATCCAGGCAAGGCTATGACACCCACAAGCTGTTTCTGAAGATACCTGTCTTCCCATTTCAGACGAAGCTCCGCCTACTTCCCCGCCCTCGCGAGCAGCTACCTATCAGCGAGCCGCAGGGGAGGCCCCGCCCACCACACATCCCCGCCCCCTCCGGCACGTGCTGCTCAAAGCCCCTATCTAGGACTGTTTCCGGAGATGCCTATCTGCAGGCCTCAGGCAAGGCCCTGTCCCCAGCCCTGCTCCCTCTGGCGGACCTGCCTATCTGCAGGCGAGGCCCGCGCCTTCGGCTCCGGGCCCGGCACTCCAGCTCTCCCCGGGTGGGCTCTGCCCGCGCGGCGCCTCAGGCATCGCGGCGGGCAGCCCGGGCTCCGGCGCGCCGCGGGCGTGGGAAGACCCCGGCGCCTGTCGTGGCGCAGAGCCGGGTGGACGCGGAGGCAGCGGCAGCGGCAAGGTGTCGGGGGCGAGTACGCTGGTTGTTTGCGGGACGTGCAGCTTCTCCGGCGGTGCTCGCCGCGCTGGCTGGTTGTTGGGCGGCCGGCGCCATGTCTGTGAGCGAGATCTTCGTGGAGCTGCAGGGCTTTTTGGCTGCCGAGCAGGACATCCGAGAGGCGAGCCCCTTCCTCCTCATCCCCTTTTTTCTTTACCCTGCCTGGCTGGGCCACCTCGTCAGGCCCTGCTCGGTCGCTCATTCTCGGGCCCGGTGGGGACGCCTCCCAGGGTGGGTTTCAGGTTAGGTCCCCCTCCTTCTCCCTGATTCAACTGCTCTTCCGGCGTGTTAGCATCACCTGCCTCTTGGAATGTCACTTTCCCTTCTATTTACCATTTAACGTCCTTAATAAGGCTCCGTTAACGCCTGGGGCTATCCAACGCACCTTCCCTGTATTCCTTGCTGGTATTTTTAAAAGCATTTGCGATCCTTCCTTTAAATACTTTACCCTATAGCTTCTCATCCTACAAAAATAAAACTCGAGATTTTGCTGTGCCTCGCAAGGTCTTTCCCCGATCTCATTTTCACTTTTTCTTCTTGTATACCATGCTCAAATTTACCTTCTTTTCATTCCTCTAGTGCTCCAGATAGTGTCCTGCCTGAGGGACTCTTGCATGTGCTGTTTGTTTTTGCTAGAATTTGCTGCTTTCCCACGCGCTGCCTGTTTACCTCCTGTATTAAGATCTCGCTTCTATTCCTTGGTGGCCTCGAACTTGAACCTGTTCTAGTGTCTTGAGTGGTGGGATTACACCATGATGCCTGCGGTTTGTAGTCATCGTGACCCTACAATGTAAAGAACTGCTTCTCTATTGTGTTCTGTGTTAACTTAAAACTATTTATGTGATTTAAAAAAATTATCTCTATTATTAAATTTCCACAAGAAAGCTTGGTTCTTCAGTGTTTGCACAATGCCTAGCACTAAATGTGCTCAGTGAGTAAAATGAATGAATGGAAAACACTCAACTCCTGTATTGCATTTGAGTGTTCATTCTATGGACTACATTGCCAGTTTTTTTTTTTTTTTTTAAATTTTGGTCTTTTTGGGACTGGGTCTCCTTGTAAGTAGCCCCAGCTGGCCTGCCTGGGACCCACCATGTTGACCAGGCTGGCCTCAAACTCACAGAGACTCACCTGCCTCTGCCTCCTAGGTGCTGGGATTTTAAAGGCATGCGCCATCACACGTGGCAACAGATATTTTAATTTTTATAGCGTCTTTGTTGCATAGTTAGGATGGGTAGCGAATACACTTTACTAGAGGCATCTCAGGCTTTTTAGTGACCTCTCAGGGTGTCACAGGAAGTCATGGGGAGAGTCAGTCCACACCCAAAGAATCAGTTCTTGAGAAGATCAGTGTTTTAAATGTATGTGAATGTGTGATACATCAAACCTGCTATTTATACTGCGTTTGATAGGAATCTGTGATAGTGATTACTCTGACTTTATCTGATTCTGATTTTTAATTCTTTCTAGGAAATCCGAAAAGTTGTACAGAGTTTAGAACAAACAGCTCGAGAGATTTTAACCCTACTTCAAGGGGTCCATCAGGGCCCTGGGTTTCAGGACAGTAAGTTCTTTGCTTTAATTTTGAAGTTTTTAATCCAGTTTATCTTTTAGTTGATTTCCATCTAGAAGACATACTTAGTATGCCTGTGTCATTTTATTGTGAAAGTGTCCATTTTGCTTTATAGTAAGTAAAAATAGAAGTGGTTTATTTTATAAATTTACCATATTAGTATTTTGATTGCTTTTCCACTTCATAGTGTGGTTTAAATAGGAATGTTTTCTGTTGTTATGACATTCTACTGACATTAATTACAGCTGCTTAAAGAAACTCTTGCGTGTCTAAGAACTTTTATTTGGCTTGCCTGAGAGAGTGAGTTTTGTTTTGGGGTCAGGGATCTTGCTGTGTTGACCAGGCTGGTGCTACATTGGGCTCCTGTCAGTGTCCCACCTTAACCTGGGACTCCCAAGTGAGGACCATGTGATGCGCGCGCGTGTGTGTGTGTGTGTGTGTGTGTGTGTGTGTGCGCGCGCGCGTGCATGCGTGTATGTGAATTTACATTTTTAGTGATTGAATACTTTTTAATATGCATTTATAATATGAGGTAACCAATATAAAATGTTCTCAAGTTAATATATCCACATTTACTTCCTTAAACGAGAATCAGATATGTTAATTTAGACACGGAACCTTTCTTGGAAGATGCAGCTTAACTTTTTTTCAAGTGGAGAGCATTCTAGTAACAGCTTCCAGGGGTCAGAGGCAAGTCATTTGGGTAGTGATGTGGAGTCAAGAATTTGAGAATAATCGATAAAAGCTCTTTTCTGACCAGAATGGGAGGTAGCAGCAGTCCAGTTGTTGGTATCCTCCGAGGACTGATAGGAATAGCAGCTGGCAAATGGCAGGCTCTTAAGGGTGGATTATTTATGAGATTGTGCAAATTACCAATGTTTCCCAACATTCTCCCCTTCAGAAAGCTTTTATTTTTTTAAAAGTAGGTTAATCATCTGGGAAACTGACATTTTAGAGCCAGATTACAAAGAGTTGTGTACATTTGGCTGTGGGTTTTTTTTTTTTTTTTTAAAGTTGATTAATGTACAGGTAGACTACATAGATTATTAAGCAAGAACTATATTTGCAATTGGGTAAGTTTTATATTGTTAAATTTGATTGTCTTTTGTGATTAGTTCCAAAGAGGTGCTTGAAAGCTCGAGAACATTTTGGTACAGTAAAAACACATCTAACGTCTCTGAAGACCAAGTTCCCTGCTGAACAGTATTACAGGTTTGTAAGAAAAATAGCACTGTTTTGTAACATTAGATTCTTTAAAAAGGCAGGAAAATAAACAAGTATTGAATGATTACTTATGACTAGGTAAAGGTCTCCAGAAAAGGAACCACAGAGTCTGAAATTGATAACATAGTGATAAAATTGGTGTTTTAATTTTTTCCTTCTGTTTACTTAGGAAAAATTTTAAGGAACATATTTTGGAGTGAAAAAATAAGAGAACACCTATTGTAGGGACTGGAGCAGCAGCTCAGCAGTAAAGAGACCTTATTGCTCTTCAGTAGACCTGAATTTGTTCTCAGCATTGGCATCAGGTTGCTCACAAGTGCCTGTAGTTCCAGTTCAGGGGATCCAGTGCCCTCTTCTGGCCTGCATGTGTACTGACACCCACTACATACACAGAAACACAGCTAAATAAAAATCTTTAAGAAAAAAACTAAACCTGTTATAAATGGCATATATACATTTTTTTTTTTTGGGTCTCTTTTGAGACAGGGTCTCCCTGTAGCCTCAGCTGGCCTGGAACTCACTAGGTAGACCATGCTGGCCTTGAACTCACCGAGATCTGCCTGCCTCTGCCTCCCAAGTGCTGAAATCAAAGTTGTGTGCTACCATACCCAGCATAAATGGCCAATAAATAGTTTTAAAAGTGGTCATTGTCCTTAGTTACCAGGGAAATACAAATTAAAACTACTTTGAGATTTCATGCTGTATTCAGAAAGTAACATTAAGAAAACAATGACAAGTGCTGGATGTGGGAGGAAAGAGGAAACCTTTATTCACTGCTAGTGGTAGTATGAACTGATATAATGGAAATTAGTACAGTGTTCCTCAAAATATGAAAGTAGGACTAATATGTGACTCAGCTATCCTGCTCCCCATGTAACCAAAGTTCTACCACAGAGATCCTTGCAAATCCATATTGATGACTATTTACAGTAGTGAGAAATGGAACCAGCCTAGATGACCATTAACAGATAAATGGACAAAGAAAATGTACGTATACATAGCGGGGTTTTATTCAGTTATATGGAGAAATGAAATCATGACATCTATAGGAAAATGGGCACAGAAATAATGAATACAACAGTAAATCATGTGCTAAGCAAAATAAACTAGATCCTGGGGCTGGAGAGGTGACTTGGGGGATAAGAGAACTTGCTGTTCTTTCAGAGCACCCACATAGTGGCTCTGGTGTCTTCTGGTCTTTGGGGACACTACACACAGCAATAAACATACTGTTAATCAGAACTGTTGTACAAATAAAAATAAATCATTTTTTAAAAAGCTAGATCCAGAAAGAAAAATCCAGTATGTTTTCTCTTACATGCAGACCCTACATTTTAGTTTTTATATGTGTATCTATGATGTTTTGGGGGTATGCGTGTGGGTATAGGCTATGAAACTAGGAAGGGGACCATGAGACAGGAAGAAGAGATCTTTGGTGGGGGTGGGGCAGAAAGATGAGAGTAATGAAAGTGGAAGAAAAACTGTTGGGGGTGGAAGGGAACCAGCAGGTGGAGGATTGGGGGATAAGGGAGGGATGTGGGGGAGAAGGAACAGTAAGAAAGTATATATGAAAATGCTGTATGAAAACATTACTTTGTATGCTAGTTTCAGAAACTGATGAAAACACAGGAGAATGCCCATTGTCTGAAGGCCAAGATTGAGAGTATCTTTCTGCAATGATAAAGTTTCTTTGTGCAGTTTAGTGACTTATACTTAACTATTAATGTTATGAGATTAGGTGGCAGTATACACGTTTTATGGCAGAGGGTGAATTTAATTGCCAAGGGGCCTATTTATCTACTAGTTTTCTTGTTATATATTGTTGAATATTTAACACCAATTTAACACCATTAGTTTTTTTTTTTTAAAGACAGGGTCTCATATATGTAGCTCTGGCTAGCCTGGAACTCACTATGTAGATCATGCTGGCCTTGAACTCACAGAGATCCACCTGCTTCTGCCTCCTGAGTGCTGGGATTAAAGGTGTGCGCCACCATGCCCAGCCAACACCATTAATTTTAAGAATACACAGTAAGGAAGAAAAAAAGTATTGCTAGTCATGATTATGAAATGTAGTTTGGAAAATGTATTCAAATTTTATAGGTGTTAAACTGAGAAAAAACACATTTCTATATTGATGAACTATAATAATTAAGAATCAAGAAATTTCTATTTTTTTTTTAACCTAAAAAGTTGTTCTTAAGATACATATATGGGGGCTGGAGAGACAGCTTAGCGGTTAAGAGCACTGACTGTTCTTGTAGAAAAACCTGAATTCGAATTCCAGCACCCACAAGGTTGCTAACAACTGTCTGTAACTCAAGTTCCAGGGGATCTGGCGCTCTCTTCTGTCCTCCACAGGCATTGCATGACGTGGATGCACTTACATACTTGCAGGCATAACACTCATACACGTAAAATAAAAATAAATAAAAAAAGATACACATATAGTTGATAAATAGAATGTGTATGAGAGTAGATAGTTTAAATTCAAAGCAAAAATTCTTTAGGGTTAGGGTTGGCGAACCACTGGAGGCCTCTGAAAGCTAATTGCTTTGTTTTTTAGTTGCTCACTGTAGTCCACGTTTTAGTTCTGCACACTGTTTTCACTCTTTGTCATATATTCTTACTTGGATTTTCCTTTAACAATCTTTTATTAAAGCAGTCCTTAGGATGGGCATGGTGGCTTACCTTGTACTTTTGAGGTGGAGGCAGGAAGACCAGGAGGTCAAGGGTATCTTTGGCTATATTAGTAAAGTCAAGGTGAGATCCTGTCTCAAACACAGAAAACCCAAAGAACCTACCTCCATATCAAAGTAGAAACCACTTGGTGATTATCCTCAAAAAGTAATGAACAAAGTCCAGAGAAGTAGGGCCCCAGAGCTTAGGTAGGACCTTTAGACTCCATTTACCCTAAAAGCCATGAACAGGTTGCCCTGTGTCTGCTTTGTTTAACCTGCCTTTATCTTGTTTTAAGAAAAAAATTTTGTTTTGAGAAAAGGTTTATGTAACCCTGACTGTCCTTGAACTCGCAGAGATTCACCTGCCTCTACCTCCCAAATGCTGGGATTAAAGGTGTACATTGGGGCTTGAGAGATGCAGGAATAACTATACTCATAAAATATAAATAAGTAAGTAAGTAAATAAATAAATAAATGTTTAAAGGTGTGTACCACCATGCCTGGCCAAAACTTTGGTCTTTTTTTTTTTTCAGGCAGGCTCCCATTTTCTGTGAGTATATGCTAATGCATGCTTAGTCTTGACTTTAAAATTTTTTTTTTTTTTTTTGGTTACCTTTTTTTTTTTATTT